ACATTTCATATATAAGGGTGATCCAACCGCATATAATTTTAGTACAACTTTCAAATATTTAATATATTGACACAAATCAACAAATTAAGCGATAAACAATATTGTAATTTAAATCAAAACTATAAGCAAGTAAGCAACAAAACTAAAAATAAACACCATGACGTCAAATGTGGCTTGTTCTCTCCACCCTACATCATTAGAAGATAGGAATTTCACACAACAAGTGTGCACCGACGCCCACCAACAACCAGGCCTTGTGATTAATACAGATTTAACTGTCAGCGGGCCATGTAGGCAGCAAACACACGAAAATCGAGACATCATATAGCACATGCTACATGCACACACATCAACATATTTGTAAACATATACACAACTCATTTAGACACTTCTCTCATGTATTCGAATGGGCAAACGAGCGTTCTTGACATGTTTTGGAAAACTTAACGATTTTCTCGCACCCGAGAAACGCGAAACACTCATATGTGCAGCACATGTGTGCGTGTGTGGATGAGAATTGAAACATATTTTTTGTATGTGCCAGTCATTGATTTGACAGTTCGAAATTCGACAAGGCGATTGAGCGGTGCATTTCCTTGTTGTGCGTAAGTAAATGATTGATTTTCGATGTTCGCGAGGCAATTATTGTACAAGAAGTAGATATACAGTAAGATATTACATAAGTGAAATAGAAGCCAATTTGATGGATGCACAACTTTTCGTCTACTTTTCGGCACTTCTAAAGAAAAGTATTGAGATAGAAATATCGAATCAAAAGTATTGTAATAAAAGCGCGCTGTTGCGGAAATGTGGAGATAATGTTTTCAAAATTCGCAATGCAAACGCTTATCAGCAGCGCTTCGGTGCTAAGCGTGCAGAAATTCAATGTACTCGAATAAGTATAGTCAATCAAGTTCGTCGGTCTTTCATTTGCTAACTCTCAAATGGTTGTCAAAAGTTGGCGTTTTGCCGTCACCTTCGACCATCTGTCAGTTAAGGTTATGGGGTTATGGGGTCCACTTAAGAATTTCAAAAATCGATTTTTATTCTTGCATATACATATATAAGTACTTATGTATATATAACTTACATGTATTTGAGCATTTTCTTCACCCTTTTTCACGAGCTTTGCCGATATATTTTTCAGGCAATGAATAAAAAATCTTTCATAATAATTTCCATTTTTTAGCCAATCTACATGTATATGTATATTTTTTCACAAAAAAACAATTTTTTGGGAAGCCGCTATTTTGCCAAAAGTCAGAATTTTGACTAGTACTTCCATCGTTACTTGTATTCAACTGTAGTAATAATATATGGTTTTTAAATTTGTGATAATTTTAAGCAGACAAATTTTTTTCACCGCCAGACACCTTATTTCTAGGGTTCTCCTGTAGATCGGCTACAAGATCAGGAAATTCAAAATATTTCAGGATGCTTCGCCGATTATTGAAGTACATTAAAATCTGTAAATGTACATTATTATACTCTGATCAGGGTATATTGAGTTTGCCACAAAGTTTGTAACACCCATAAGGAAACGTCGGAGAACTATAAATTATATATATGTATGTATATAAATGATTAGCATGCTGAGCTGAGTCGATTTAGCCATATCCGTTAGTCTGTATATACGCGAACTAAAACTCAGTATCACATCCGCATACAGTATATGGCTGTATGTGAAATTTTTCGGTGCAATCGAAGATAAAGTTTTTCTTGATTTTATTTATTTATTAGATAATATGACACTACAAAAAAATAAAAATCACAATAATAAATTATAGTTTAAAAAACTTAAAAAAAAAAACGCTATAAAGGAATTTTTACACCTCCTCCTATAAAGCTCTTCCCTACCACCTTATTTGTGAAAATTAATGCTTATGGTGCATTTATTTCGTCGGTTATCGCACTTTTAGTATATTTTAACATAACTGGTATATGGGGAGAGAGCGTGTTTGTTATCTGATTTTGCTCATTTTCACAGCGTTTAAAAAAGGGCTAAAAGGACTTCCTCTAAGCAAATTTGGTTGAGTTAGCTTTAGCGGTTTGGAAGATATATACATTAAACCATTTAGTGCGGGGTTACGCCCACCTTTAAAGTAATGGGAAACTGTTATCGAATTATTGCATTGTCATCGGTCCTTGACACGTCTGCAAAGTTTCAAGTGATCAAGTGATCAGACTTCTGGAAACCGGTGAAAATTGAGTTCTAAGATTCCATTACACACATACAACCCAAGCTAATAAAAGCGTATTAAAAAAAGCTATTTTTCTGACTTGCTTCTTAAGTCAATAGAGCCATACTACTTATTTGGCGTCCAATAATAACGATCTCGGCGTCGAGATTCTCCTTAAGGTCCACAATCGAGTTTTTTAAATATTTTTTATAGATTCAGGGAAGGTCGTCATTTGTAATAGTCATAGATGTAAACCTAATATTATATTATATATTCTGGTGAGAAGTAGCATCACTCTTAATAATAACTGAGTGGTATATAGTATGTGCTCTATTTCGCTCATTACATAATAAATACCCTATAAAGTTTATTTTTTCCGTTTTGCGCACTTGCCCACACATTGCAAATGTAAACAAGGCATTTCTAGATAGCACAACTCTTCTGCAGCTGCTTTCATTGCCCGCCCTGATGGCGCAATGTGACTTACATACATATACTCGTACATTATTGATTTCGTTACGTTGTGGTTTTCACGGTTTGTTTTATTATTTTTATAATGAGAAATATTATTTACATACATACATACAAGCAACGGGCCTATGATTTTACGAAGGCATAAAAATAGTATTTACTCAGGCTGCGTAAATGTCAATACATTTGTACGTATTTATATATGTTTATTCACAGATAAATTTACGTATGCCATATGCAAGTAGGAATGAGTGGAAAGGCTAAGAAAGTATGACTGTGTTATGGTACGCGCACGGCATCCAAGGTCGTTGCTAATCGAAGACGTTTACAAGGTTTCCCTCTTTCGTGGAAATTCAAACATTTTAACGACAAAAACTGAATCTGTTATTTGCGATTCTATATAAATATACATATGTATGTATATGGCCAATATTGTTAAGTACAATATTTAATATATTTATAAATGCTTATAGGCCGTGTGGGTTTCAGACTTGATTTTGATTGAAGCCTTGTTTGCGACGCCACATTTACAATTGCATTATAATTATACGTCAAATTTGTACTCGTTGTTTAATGATTTTATTTATATATGTATTCGCCCACAGTAACTCAACTCGTTTGCATTAGAATAATCTTCTTTCGAGAAATTCTCCAAATCTATTAAAAGCGCATTTTGTGATTAATTTTCCACTTCCTAATACAGCAAGTAACATTTGTGTACATATGTATGTATGTATTTAAGTCTGTACATATATAATGTTTGCGGCGAACAAATTGAAATTAAATCGATTAGTAGTAACGACTTTCACCAAAAGTAAACACATACATACAAAGAGTTTTATAAATACTTTAAGGGGTTACTTGGGTTTCCTCTAATAAAAAACGGTCTATTTTTATTAATTTTTTTTTTCATATAAAAAATTAAATATTGTGTTCATACTTTGTTTTGTTACAACAATTTTGTAAAACTTTAAAAGAAAAATTTTATATTTAAAACTCGGCCATTACGACATCATTTCCGGCAGACCCTCAGAAAAGAGGTGTACGCGCGTTGACAGCACAACTTCTTACAGGATCATCCGAAGTAAAAAGAAAACAAATCGTGTTTTAATTAAGACCTTAAGCTTGGTATTGTGCGAAGGAAAAGAAGTGAAACTGTATTTTTCGCAAAAAAATTCAAATTTCGATGAAAGTTTCTTGACGTTTTTGTCCAGTACTTATAATTGAACAGAAAAATGCATGTTGTTGTTGTAGCGGCAGAATTCTGCCGAGTTGTTAAAAAACAGGCAAAAGTTAAAAAAAACAGGAAAAACGCATCGTTTGAGACTTTATAAATTACAACTCAAAGACCTCTGTAAAATTTCATTATCTCATTAATCGCGACAACCGACTTTGAAAAACAGTTTCAGGAAAAACGCATATAAAATTCTAAGTGACTACAAGTATATAGCTGACCTCGAGCGCGTAACTTCTCAAGGCTGTACCTCCAAAACTATTACTCGGATCAACTTGAGCATTCAGGACAATATTCTAGACATGTAATCTTAAGTTAAATATAATGCATGTGGATAATTTTATATTCATACATACATATATATGTATATACAGTTGTGGACAACATAATACGGTCACTTTTTTGAAGTGTAAACACAGACAGAAAATCCACTGAAAATTTGTGGAAAGTAGTCAAGGAATGCATAAATAGAGCAACAACTAAAAAAACAGTACTAGAAGAAAAAGTAAAGTATGCATGGCATTCGCTCCAGCAAAAGAAATACCAGATTTAGTAGTCTATACCTAAAACCAGACGTAATTACTTATAAAGGATATTATAGCAAATATTAATTAAATATTTTTTAACACAATTTCCTAGTCAAAAATAATATTGTAGTTTTGCCCCTATTTTTATGTCCACTGAAATTCTAAAGAGGTCAAATAATTTTATTTTTACAAGTTATGCAATTTTTTTTTTAAGTTTTAATATGGGATTTCTTTCTCCTTTTCCGCTTTAAAAGTTGTTTTCATTAACCTGAACGGTTGAGCCTGTAACCATAACTGTATGTAACTGTCTGACCTTCATATCATCTTTGTATCAATATTCAAATTAGGATTCAATCAAATAATCTTGGGATTACGTGCCTTCAATCAGGGATAGTAAGTAGTCAGTTCTCAAGGTCAAACAAATGTTTATAGCAAATAACATTGTTTTGGGGTATATTAGTAATATTCAGAGTCTATAATATTGACACTAGAGCAATAATAGTTAACATAGAAAAACTACATATAAACGCACAAATACATAACTGTAAATAAAAATGCATATGCACGATTGCCTCTCTGTTTGCCAATGTAATCAATTTCCAGTTGCAAATAGACAACCGAGTGTGTTATACCGTTCGATTTAGCGCACATTTATTCACCTCCCCCCGCACGGATTTCTCCACACGTTTATCGCTATTTATATGCATATTTTTGCGGTAAATTTTTATATATGTGTGTGTGTGTGTGGTAGTAGTTGCGCACTTACCTTCAATACAAACGACGTGATCGCGTATCTGCTGGGCGATTTGTGCATCGGCGATTGGCAGCAAATCGATTAAATCGTAAATTGCATAAATCGATGGATGTACGCTTTCGAAACGTTGTATTTCTTGACGTATGGCCAGCGAATTGCTGATCAATGGTTGAGGCTGCTGCTGCTGCTGCACATGTTGCTGTTGTGATGGCAACATCGGAAGCGGAGGCTGCGGTTGCGGCAACAGTGATGGATGGTGATGCGGCAGCGGCGGTGGCGGCGGCAAATGGTGATGGTGATGCCGCGTTACAGGTGGCGGCGTTTGGTGTTGATAATTATTCATTTTAGAAATGATTTACACTCACAAAAACACCAGAGAAACTATATTATTGATTGCAGACGGAGAACTGAGACACAATTTAATTTTCTTTTATTTGTTTGCTTCAATTTACAGATACACAAACACGTAATTATTTTTCACATTTTTCCACACTATGTAATTTACATATGCAAATTGCGTTTAAGTATTATATTTTTTATTTTAATACAATTTTTAATGTTATTCAAGTTATAATATATGTTTTCACTAATTTTTATTTTCTACGAATATTTAGATTTTTGCTTTCCTGCAACAAAAGTTGTATTTTGGTATTGATAACATGATGTATGTACCATACATATGCATTAAAATGTAAAAAAAACCTAACAAACATACACATATTCACAACACAAAATAAATTCTAGCTTTTAAAAAATCATTAAAACAAATTTTAATTAAAAAATTTGACATTAAAATTTTTTATAATCTGATTCTGCAAAGTCCGTTACAGTTGACGTTATTCCAAAAATTATTTTAAAAAATTAAACTTAATGGTATTTTAATTACTCATTTGAGAGACGAAAAAAATCACATAAAATGAACCAAACAATTTTATGAACTGAAGTAAAGCAATTTTGTGCATTCAGAGGTCGTTAATACGAAAATATCTTACACTTCTGCCACAAAAACATTTGAGCAATAAACAGAACGATCGTTGAAATAAATAAATATGGACGTTTGTAAACACGAGAAAACTAGAAATGACTTTAGTCACTAAATTAGATAATTAGAACAATCTTCGTACAGCTACGCCAACTGTATGTGAAAATCAGTTACGCCCGCGCTCATACTAACGTCTTTTGACGTTTCAGAGCAATTCATTAGATGCTTTTTCTTGTCTTTACATTCGTCCGCATAGGTAGGTTTGCATATATGTATGTGCGTTCGCTCGTCTTTTTAAAGCCGCTTGTTTTGTTTATGTTGTTGTTGCTAGTTTAATTGCCGTTTTTTCATGTGTTCAACAGCACTTCATCTCGCTTTTATGCTGCTGCTTCGCATTTATTTTTGTTGCTATCGCCGATGCTTCCTTTCATTGGTGTTGGTGGATTGTATACTGCTGGTATAGGCGTATGTGTGTTTGCCGTAAAATGCATTAGTATTTGTTTGAGCATAAATAAAATCGTGAATAGTCTATTACTTTTTTGTTAGTATTTTGGTTTTGCCTTCTCGTAGAATGTTTATGGTGTGAAGTGTAAATTGGAAATGGAGGAAGCGCAAACCAAGAATGGTAGGCTGGATACTGATAGGTTTGGAGGTCGCGCCAGAATTGAAAATTTGAAATGGAATGTTAAGTGGACAACTACCAGGTAAATACAATCACATTACAATTAATAAATTCGTTTTCATGAAAAGAAATATTTCTTAATAAAACGTTTTCTATGATTTTAAAGGATTTGATTTCAGTTAAACTTTTTTATCTGTATAGGTCTTAATTATTAAACTGTAAACAACACAATCAACCAAATATTATACAAGCAATTATTTAATCGGTTTTCGGTGCAACGAACATGTATTGCCACCGATACGTCGAAACAGCAATTCAACGTAATTCATTGAAGCAACATTGTCGCAGCACACGCAAAATTTGGAGCAGTGCAATTCCACTTGCCGTCTTTACATGCTAATACACACATGCACACTCGCACACAAATCTGGCAACACACAAATCTGGCAACAAACGAAATAATAATAAAACGCCACGCAAATTTTTGGGAATTAAAAATTGTATAAATTTAACGCAAATATTACATCGATATTTTGCAGCGGATTTGTAGATAACTCCAAGTTATTTTACATTAAATTATCTTAGTACGCCGACAAATTAACACAAAACAAAACACTGTCACGGTTAATATTTGAAACGCGCCCGACACAAATGAAATGAACTCAAACACGTCAAAGAACAAACTGACAAGAGCGAATCGACTGAAATTCGCTTGAACTGCCGCTGTCAGTTTTCCTCTGGTTTGTTAGCCCGTGTGGGTATGCGTGTATTTGTTGACTTGCTATTGGAGTTGGAGCTTTGGATACAAAGCAGTGGTGGATGATTTTAATTTTACTGTGTGTGATAAAATGCAGCGGGCGGGTTAGAGAATAAACAAAAAATAGCAATGCAAAGCGTAATGTCAAAACCATAAATGTCAACAATTCTAGCGGCCAGTAGAGGTATTGCGATACAGGGTGATATAGCGATATTGGATTTCAATATACAACTCTTAAATCTGTTCAGTAGAACAACTATATTAACCGATTTATATGATTTAATAAATTTATTAATTTCCATCACATGCCTTTTATTGTTTACAGTCTTGTAGCCCTTCTTTTAGGTCTGAGGGGTCACTGCTTAGCTGGTGGGTATGTGTGTTGATACTGAAGGAATATTCTACGTTATCTCTTGATATTTCAATGGTATGACAAAATTTGTTTCCTAAAATATTATCGCTCCCAGTCAAATAACTAAACAATCATTTAATATACATTATTTTGAATAAATTTCGATTTCATTAACAATTTAATAAAAAATAGGACGTTGTGGTAGCCTTATATTATCTGGTCAAAACAATATTAACTGGCATCACTTAAAGGATCTACAGTAAAGTTAAAGTGCATTAAAGAAATTGGGACGAAAAGTAAACAAATATTTTTTTAAAAGTCAAAATTTATTCAGTTAAAATTTCGTAAAGAAAAAAAGAAAATTTTATTCAAATGATCAGGTCTCTTTAGCGAAACAAACATAAAATTTCACCTCAACCTGCAATTAGCATTACAGCATCTTAAAATTCCGAACTAAGTACTTCCAGATACACTGTTATATTCACTAGACTCTACAAAGCAAAGCAGTCGCCACACAAAGCCCTTCTTGACCCCGCCGATAACAGCAGTCAACGTAATGTGCTTGCATATTGAATTATAATTTACGAAACAGTTTAGTCGTGCTCGGCTAGTGGCGCGTTGCGAGTCTCAAACGGACAGGAGACAATTTACCATAATGAAGACAAGGAATATAGTTTTGTTACAAAATGTTTTGCTTCTCCAGGCGCTATTTTTATCAGCGGTAAGTTGTTGATCAGGTTCCACGGGTAAGTTGATGTTTCATTTATATTTCCTTTTTCGAAAGTCTGTACGTGCATATTCTGTTGACTCAGCGGGCTCTTGTAGTAGCAATTCGGTGAAATCTGACTCGCGTGCATTTTTCGAGCGTGAAAATGAACTACTACGCCAGCGTCGTCGTAATGAGTTCCTCACCTCATATGCATACAACACTAATGTAACAGAGGAAAATCGCAAAGCAATGATTGCTGTGGCTACAACAAATGCAGCCGCAAACAAGGAGATGACACGCAATATAATTGCATCGGGATATATTGACTCAAGCGATGAGGATATTAAACGACAAGCAACTATACTTGGTGATTTGGGTATAGATGTGCTACCCGAAAGTGATTATAAGGAATTACTCAATGCAGTCAGTTTAATGCAGTCAAATTATGCAACTACAACTGTTTGCCCATACAACAAGGAGGAGGATTGTACACTGCAATTGGAGCCACATATACAGGAGCGTCTTTCGAATAGTCGTGATCCAAAAGAGTTGAAACATTACTGGCGTCAATGGTATGACAAAGCAGGCACACCGATGCGTGAGAATTTTAAAAAATATATAGAGTTGACCCGCAAGGCAGCTCGTCTGAATGGTAAGTTGTCGGCGTTTGGTTGACGATAAGAATATTTTTTTTGCTTTCGGTTTATAATTTCTCAGTAGTATGTGAGTACACAATGTGATTGTATATGTACGCATAATATGTTGTTGCTACTAATTATAAACATTGGGCGAGTTGCTAACAAAGAAAGTACAACGTATTAAATAAATATTAATTTCCCATTTGCAATATCAGATATTTAGTAATATGGGTATAATCTACTCTTATATAACATGAATGTCAATTACTTTCGTATTTAATTTATAATCTCTTTGAACTTATTTTATGAACATAACCATGTGTCAGGTTATTCATCATATGCTGACTACTGGATCCATTTCTATGAAGACCCCGATTTCGAAACAAACCTGGATAAGGTGTATAAAGCTATATTGCCATTCTATCGTGAAATACACGGTTATGTTCGTTATCGACTCCGTGCGTATTATGGTGATGAAATTGTGTCTGAAAATGGAAATATCCCAATGCATTTGTTGGGCAACATGTGGGCACAACAATGGGACAATGCGTTGCCACTTTTCACGCCTTATCCAGAAAAACCGTTCTTGGACGTGACCAGCGAAATGCAGCGCCAAAACTACACAGTACGCAAACTCTTCGAGTTAGGTGATCAATTTTTCAAATCACTGGGCATGCGCGCGCTACCGCCAAGCTTTTGGGACTTGAGCGTGTTAACACGGCCAGCAGACAGAGAAATAGTTTGTCATGCTTCTGCCTGGGACTTGTACCAGGATAGTGATGTGCGCATTAAAATGTGCACTGACGTCGACACTCACTATCTGTACGTTGTACATCACGAGCTTGGTCACATACAGTACTACTTACAATATGAAAATCAACCCACCGTTTATCGCTCAGCGCCAAATCCCGGCTTCCATGAGGCTGTGGGTGATGTCATTGCACTTTCGGTATCCACGCCCAAGCATCTGCAAGCCATCGGTCTCTCGAACGTGAGCAAATTGGATGATGAAAGTCGTATCAATGAATTGTTTAAGAATGTGAGTCGGAAATATATAATTTTATAACACGGCCGTTGATAAATCTTAAATTGTAGGCACTCAAAAAAATCGTGTTCTTACCTTTTGCCTACACTATGGATAAATATCGTTATGCTGTGTTTCGGGGTGAGGTGGAAGAATCGAAATGGAATTGTGCCTTCTGGCAAATGCGTTCCGAGTTTTCCGGCGTTGAGCCACCCGTACGTCGCACTGACCAAGATTTCGATCCACCAGCCAAATATCACATTGACGCTGATGTCGAGTACTTGCGCTACTTTGCAGCTCATATTTTCCAATTTCAGTTTCTTAAAGCTATGTGCACCAAAGCTGGTCAGTATGTGCAGGGTGACCCAGAAAAAACGTTAGACAATTGCGATATTTACAACAACAAAGAAGCTGGTGAGGCGTTTGGGTAAGCTTTGTTATAGATTACACTTTTCTGTTAATTGTGAATATTCTTTAATTTATAAACCACAGCAAGTTTCTTTCATTGGGCGCGTCAGTGCATTGGAAAAAGGCGCTAAAGGAGTTCACAGGCGAAACTGAAATGGATCCCTCTGCGTTGTTGGAGTACTTTGAACCACTCAACAAATGGTTGCATGCAGAAAATCAACGCTTGAAAGTGCCACTCGGTTGGGGCGATACTGATAGTAAGCGCTTACTTAGAAAATATTTACTGTTATGTGTTTACGTATTTTTTTTATTTGCAGAAGTTGCAGGTGACTGTTGTTCAGCATTCAGCACCTAACATTTAACGAAAGTCAGCGTTAAAGCGAATTGTAAAAGAGCTAATATTTGCTTATGACAAATAAGATCTCGTTTTTCTTACGAAGTAAAACCGTAGAAGGCCTTCAATGAATACAACATAAACATTTTTGAATGAAATCGAAATTTTTTTTTAACAAATTGCACTTTTTAATACAAATTAGGCAATGTTTTATAATCTTGAAAAGCTGTATAAACATTAAACAAAACAATTCAACCTTAATCTCATAAGGAAGTATTAATAAATACGTTCGTTTGCACTGTATATGGCACAATTATTATTTTTCAAACTAATAAGGAAAAGAAAATAGTTGAAAAAGGTTTAAAAAGGTATTAAAATCTACACCCAATTTGTGCTACTTGATTTTAGTCTGATATACTTGCACTGGCTCTTATAACAGGATTGTGCTTTGTGGATGACTGCAGCCGGTATACCTGAAAAAGCAGTTAACAACCCTGAGTTCACATTTTTGAGAAAAATTACTTTCCTAAACTTCCATCCACAAAGTAAAACTGTGTAAGCTAATATTTACTTGGCAAAATCTGGCATTCACACTCAACATAAAAATTGTTTGTGTTAAATAAATAACAAATAAAAGTATGTATATATTGAAAAAGAAAACTATTTCTGGCTAACTGAGGGAGTAAACGATTTCTAATAGAAATTTGCAACCCATTTCGTTCTAAGTAGGAATAGTAAGTGGTCATCGGCATTTACTTACATATGTATACTATAATAAATATTCTCCCACATATTTACTTAGCTTGCGTCGGCTTTATCAATACTCAAGCTCATTGTTATGCCTATCTCAATCGGGTTCTCCTTTCTTTTCGATATCTCACGCATATTTGGCTCTGGCATTGTTGGCGATAATGACGATGAGCACTCGCATTGGCGACGACTTGCTCAATATCTCAATTTGTTGATGTTTACGCTCATTTTTCTAACCACTTTAGTGCTAATACGTATTGATGACTATGCCACTGCGGTTGAATAATTTACAAACGTTGATCTTGCAGCGCTTAGCCGGTATAAAAGCCAGTCAGCGGCTGCTCGGCAAATTAGTTTACGTGCCGCGCTCTTCAAGCGCGCGAGTTTCTTGCTATAAGTTGGTGATTTTGAAAAGTGGGTGAGCATTCGCCATTGTTTTCAAATATAATTTGTGTTGACCAAATTATTAGTAAAATTTAAGATTATTTAAATTGCTACTGAGCTGTCTATAAAAGGTATATGCTTTAATTGACGCACACGCTATCGATAAATTACAATTCATTGGGTTAATTATGCACAAATCACATGTCAATCGGCGTTCAATGCACTCATCGTCATGATCTTGATCTTATTGCCAAGTCAAATGTTAAATTAAGTTAAGTAATGCAATTTTGTATTTACGAAACGAACGAGCGTTTGACAATTGCTGGACAAAATGACTTAGCGTGTTTGAAATACATACATACATAAGAGCACTCGTAAAAGCTAAATAAATAATTAAATTACATTGAAGTTTACAAAAGGAAGATCAGTGGAGAGATTCCTTCTAAAAATATCTCAAATATTTAAATGTTTATTGAAATCATATTTTTCTCAATAAAAGACAAGAAAAAACGGTACAGTTGCACCGAAGTTATTGTATAATACCCCTCATACATCAAAGGACTTGATTTGATCATTTACTGACAGCTATATGTGTGTAGTGGTCCGATCTTAATAATATGTTCGCAGATAATAGCGTTACTTTGAACAACAATCCGTGTCAAATTTCGAACTTGGCTAAATTGACTCAGCTCGTTACACTAATCATCTCCGACTTTTTGTTCTGTGTGTTACAAACGTGGCAAATCTAAAAATATAATTTTGAATAAATATGTCTAAAATAGACCAGTTAGTAAATTAAAATTACTTTTCACCGTTCATAATGAGTTAATAGGCTTAAAGCACAAACTGTTGTGGAAATTTAAAACTACTTAACTTCATTGAACTGTGTGTGTGATTGGAATCAAACGTTTTATTAGTTCTCTTTCAGAATGAAAGTTCTTTTCAGAATCCTGTACGAGATTAAAGTAATACTGGTCAAATTTGACTTGGACTGACTAAAATAAAAATTCCTTTTTACGTATATTAAAAAATCTTTATTATCGCCTTTAAAATAGGCTCCTGAGCCAATACAAGCTAACGCTTAAACCAATTTTCTATACATTTGTTAGAAGCGTCGTTGTACAGTCTCGACATCAAATCAATAAACCCACGTTTCGTCACCAGTAATGATAAATGCCGGGTTCTCAGCTATGTTGTCAAGCATCTCTTATGCAACCTTTCTTCTACGCAACGTCGTTTCGACAAAAGATTGAGGTCTTTTGCAACGAGGCTAGCATTGACACGTTGAATACCGAAAACATGAACCAAAATGTGTTAAGTCGTTCCATATGGAGATCAAACTTTACACGATAAAAAAAATAAGTTACTAATCTATGAAACAATTTTTATCGATTTAGTTGGCGCGCACTGTTTATGTGGAGCAGTCCGGGTAAATTGTGATCAGGTGATCTGAGTACCTATATTGGTTTGCCAAAGTGCAAGCGATTTAGTATGTACTTACATTTCAGTAACATTGATATGAACTTTAAGATTTTAATTAACGATTCTAATTGAATTGACTTTATAATCACTTTTATTCAAGTGTCCTAAAAAAAGCGGAGTTCTCGAACTCAAGTAGGAGCACTTTCAGTGTCTAAGTACATCTAATTTAAAAACTTATTGCTTCCAAACTTATTGCTGCTTTGTAATGCACACATATTTGTTGCTGAAATTGAAATCTATCCAATAATCCAATCTTCTATACATGTGGTATACCATATGACTATGATGCATACACATTTCAGTTCTTTCTGTTGTTGGAGTTATCTCTTGTCGCCGACGCTGATAACGGCTGATCACGTACTAGAAGAGTAAAATACTTGTATTGCAAGTTAAGCGCATATCGCAGGCTCATATCGCTAAACGCTGGTCCAGCAGTGACATCGTAAATAATTTATAACAGAAGAACAATCGTCTATTTGTAGTTTAAAGATACTTAACTTCTCATATATGCCTATACACAACTAATTACCTTAAGTAGTAGCCTAATTTGTGAACTGACACGAGCTCTTCTTTGTGTTATATAATATATTTCTCGTTTGTATATTAAATATAAAATAGATGTGTTAATCTTTCAAATTCTATGAATATAATAATTATGACGAACTATTAACTTCATTGTTTCCCAGAATTGGGCATTCAATATGATTGATTGACAGAAATTGAAGAGATATTTAAATAATAAATATTGCAATATTTGTCGGTACATACATATGCGAAAAGGCATTTAAATTCTCTCTCCTATTTTTCTCTGCTTCATTAATTATTGCAATTGTGGAGTTGTGGTGTGAAAACCAACCAAAGTCGCTTGTAAATCAATATAAAACTTAATAAAAAAAAAACGGCTTTGGACGGATCTCTTATAAAGCTAAAAAATGATTAACTGACCTTTAAAGTTTAAAAATCTAAACATGACAAGCAATAAACAACGGTTCTAAGAAACCGAGCTGTTCTTAAAACATAGAAGTCTTACGAATTTCTGAAATTCGAGTTTATTGATAATTTCAAAAATAAATATGACTGTAAAGTCTATAGCTTGTATAGCCAGGTTCTCAAAATTATATTTAAGGCCCGTGTGATTAATGACTTTTTTGAACTCGTTTTATAATTAGATGCTTGTAAAATATATAAAATAAAAAATATAAGAGAAACCAGCTTACTCTTTTTCGTTTTACTTTTGTTTTCAGTTTCGATTGTACGTGCCTTGTATTTTTAAAGACGATCTTTATCGTTTTAGAAACTTTATTTGTTTTTGTTTTTCCATGCACATTTATAAACGAGTCTTCTTTTGGTTGTGTTTATGTTTATTTTAGCGATAAGTTTATAATTCAAGACATCAGCCGGCAATAGCTGGTTGAGAGAACCTTTGAAGAGAATCAAAAGCTGAGTCAAATGTATACATTTACATACAAATAAGGTCTTCTATGAATTCATATACATATATACTAAAGAACATGTTCATTTTGTGCGAAAACGAGGTCAAACACTAAATTCAAGCAGCTTTTAGGAGTTGCAATTTTGATTTAGAATTCGTTAAGAGATTTCTACAGTAAAAATATTCGGTATATTCGAATTAGTTCCTAATTCGTATAAAATTTGTAATCAAGCAGATATGTAAATGTGATTGTAATCTGGTGCACTTATTAGGGTTGGTTATTGAGGTTTTTACACGAAAAAAAAATGTTGTTTTGCTTATATTTTTTGTAAAAAAAATTTTATTTTGATATACCTGTTTTGGTGCATACTTTTCTAACATTTACATGTTTTGTTCCAATCTACGATATTCTTTTCAATTTCACAAATACTTTTCGTCTCAAAACTAATGTAAATTTTTCTAATTTTGAAAATTTCAGCAAAACTTTTTTTTTAAGATATAAAAAACAACTACGCATCATGAAAATTTTACTCGTCGCGCTTTTTGCCACATTAGCGGTAAGTCAAACATATTTTACACGCTTATATTTGTATTCTTATTGAAACACTACTGCACTCAATAGCTTCAGAATGCGCTGGCCAGCGTAAAAGAGGAAATTACGGCCACTGAGTATATTGAGAATCTGAATAAAGAGATTGCACGTCGCACGAACCTTGAGACAGAAGCCTCCTGGGCGTATGCATCTAACATCAATGCGGAGAATGAGCGCATGAAGAATGAAATCTCCGCAGAAGTGGCAAAATTCATGAAGGAAGTTGCCACAGATTTACAGAAATTCAATTGGCAGTCCTTTAAATCGGAAAATTTGAGTCGCCAATTTAAAATGCTCTCTAAACTCGGTTATGCTGCACTCAGCGAGCCCGAATACGCTGAATATTTGGATGTGCTGTCCACTATGGAGTCGAATTACGCTAAAGTACGTGTTTGTGACTATAAAAATGCCACCAAATGCGATCTCTCCTTAGAACCGGAAATCGAAGATATCATTAGCACCAGCCGTGATCCGGAAGAACTGAAGTATTATTGGCGCGAATTTTACGATAAGGCCGGTACTGCTGTGCGCGGTCCTTTCGAGAAATATTTGGAACTGAATACGAAAGCAGCCAAGTTAAACAGTGAGTGCGATGGAGAGTTATTTGCTCATTTCATGGTTGTTACGTTTTTAATTTTTAATTACAATAGATTTCAAATCTGGCGCTGAATTGTGGTTGGATGAGTACGAGGATGACACCATTGAAAAGCAGCTCGAAAACATTTTCGAGGAACTACGTCCGCTCTATCAGCAAATACATGGTTACGTCCGTTCTCGTCTGCGTCAACACTATGGGATGCTGTGGTGTCAGAGAAGGGACCCATTCCAATGCATTTGTTGGGAAATATGTGGCTCAACAATGGTCCAGTGGTGCCGATATTATCTCACCATTCCTAATAAGCCGCTGATTGATGTTACCAATGAGATGGTTGCACAAGGTTACACACCATTGAAAATGTTCCAACTGGGTGATGATTTTTCCAATCAATGATTTTGACAAAGCTGCCACAGTAAGATCGAGATTACATTACTCTATTACAAAAATTGTATTCGATATCATTTCTACTCTGCAGAGATTTCTGGGATAAGAGTATTTTGGTAAAGCCTGATGATGGTCGCGATTTGATTTGCCATGCCAGTGCTTGGGATTTCTATATTATCGATGATGTGCGCATTAAGCAGTGCACCCGTGTGACAATGGATCAATTCTTCACCGTTCACCATGAATTGGGACACATTCAATACTTTTTGCAATACCAGCATTTGCCCATGGTCTATCGCGCTGGTGCAACCCGGCTTTCATGAAGCTGTCGGTGATGTGCTCTCACTTTCAGTCTCTACACCGAAACATTTAGAGCGTGTTGGTCTTCTGAAGAACTACCAACGCGATGATGAGGCACGCATAACCAATTGTTCTTAACTGTAAGTGATCGAATATTGTTGACTACTTTCCAAAATTTCGTATCATATATACTTGTATCGTGTATTTAATTATTCAGGCTCTAGATAAGATCGTCTTCCTGCCTTTCGCCTTTACTATGGATAAATACCGTTGGGCATTATTCCGTGGCGAAGTGACAAGAAGGATTGGAACTGTGCTTTTTGGAAGTTGCGTGAGGAATACTCTGGCATTGAACCACCAGTAGTTCGTTCTGAAACGATTTTGATGCACCAGCTAAATATCACGTGTCCGCCGATGTCGAGTACTTGAGGTAGGTTTTACGGTTAAGAGCATCTACAATTTTTATAGAGTAGTAGCGGACCGACAGACGTGTTAGAATAGTTATCTTGGTTAGGAAGTTTTATGAAAATTGTGTAAAATATGTACTTCGAAACAGTAAAAATTGAAAATAAATAGTTTTAATAATATCCGAGAAAAAGTAATGGAATTACCTAAAGTAACAAATGTGTTCAGCGATCTATCCTTTATGAATCTTCATTCATATATCGTATGGGATGGATAGCAGTATGAATATTTACACACTATGCACCATACACCTGTCTATAGTCTTCATAGTTTAACTATAACTATGCATCTTAGAATCTGTTCAGCGCATCTACAGGCGTAACTGAAACTCAAATATACTTTTAATATGACACGACTCAGCGCAGTCTGCCGAATTCTATTTAAAACGTTCTAGCATCAACAACATTTTATAATAATAATTCACTATTAAAACTTATCTAGTTGAGCAAATTTTAATTTACATCATTCTCAAATCCCTTGAGCACACACAAAATTTCATCAAAATCGGCCAAACATGTAGAAGATTTATATATATAAAGATACTCATTTTTGTATACCAAAATTAATACTTTTACTGTCCTCTCGGTAGATATTTGGTTTCGTATCGTACAATTTCAATTCTATAAGTCCGCCTGCATCAAAGCTGGTCATATGATCCCACCAATCGGAATTGCCTTTGGACAACTGTGATATTTATGGCAGCTTTGAAGCAGGTCAAGCTTTCAAGTGAGTTTTTAAAGAATATTTAATTGTCAAGATGAGTTGCAATAAAAGTTTCGCTTGTAGAAACATGCTCTCATTGGTGCCTCTAAACCTGGCCGATGCATTGAGGCCTTCAGTGGTGAACGTACAATGAGTGGCAAAGCCATCGCAGAATACTTCGAACCGCTCCGTATATGGTTGGAGGCGGAGAATAAGAAGAACAATGTGCATATGGTTGGACGCTATCTGACAGTAAGTGTAAACTTTCCTAACCTCGTTTTCGTTGTAAAAACTAACTTTTCCTTACAGAATGTGTTTCCTCTAAACTCGGCGTGCTCTTAACAAGATGATGCAAAAAAACGTTTGCTTTTTTGGGTTCAGTTTGATTACTTACTACAATTTCATTTTCTTAAATTTTGTAAAATTTATTTTAAAAAAATCAGTATTAAAAATAATACAAAATTAAATTTGTTTTAAAATTTGGAGAATGAAAGGTTAATTATATATTCATACATCAAAACTACATAGTAAGTCAACAAAGAAGGTCAACTTCAAGTGATGGTAAGAACTATTGCAGAGTACTTCTACGATAATGCTCAAATAGGTTGGGCAGGAGAGATAACATAAAGAAACTACACATATTCATAAAATTGAAGTAATTGAGTTATTTGTTTTCACTCATATACCGTTACCGGTCTCCAATAACAGCAAATGTTCTTCTTTTAATCAATAGAGCCAATTTACAACTGCTTCTGTTTGTGAAAACTAATAGTTTCACGCTGCGTGTCATCGCCGCCGTCGCGACGCCAATTTAAAGCGTTCAAGACCAGACATATACGTGTGGAAGTGATATTGACTGTGAAGCTCGGTAGTTGAACAGTTTAAGGAAACTCAAAACAAATAAAGCGATCATTGAAAGTGCGAGGAGGAGTTTAAAGCTTCGACAATATAGACGAAAACGCAGATTGACGATAAAACAGTTAAAGTAAATATATATTATTACGTTTTAAATATCACTTTTGTTGGTTTCTAGTTGAAGCAGGTAACAGAACTGCACTGCAACTTATGGCAACTACACTAGCGACTTGAGCGCTACACAAAAAAAGTGTTATTTTAAATTTGCTATTGTGGATTTTATTCTTGGTCTGTAGATTCTATTTTGTTTAATTAAATATTATTAACCATACATTGTTAGTTGTTTTTACTTAACAGGTCGACGACGATCACAATCATTTACCTTTTATATTCACTGAAAATTTTAAAATCATTTCCGGTTAACACCGTTATATTTTATACACTGAATAGTATATATTAACTTTGTGAAAGGGAAATTCGGAGATCCTATAAAGTATAATATAGAAATGATCCGAGCGGAGTCGATTAGGTCATGTCCCCAGCGTTTGAGATATCGATCTGAAATTTTGCACAATCCCTTTCTTTAAGAAGCTGCTTATTTGTTGAAACGCCGATATCGGACTACTATAGCATTAACTGCCATACAAACTGAATGATCGGAATCAAGTTCTTGTACGGAATTTTTGTATTGTTTTGTATCAGTGAAGGATTACATGGGTTTCGCGGTTCAAAAAAAACCAAATTTTTTATGTCTTTTAATTCTATAACATCTCTAGAATATTGTCCCAAATTCTCAAGATCATACAGTAATAGTTTGAGATACAGTTGGTACTAAACTTAATCGCGTTTTTCTCGAAACTGTGTTTTCAAAGTCGGTTTTGAAGATTTATCGCGAACTACTCAACCGATCTTAATAATATTTACACAGGTCATGGAGATATAATACAATTACAACTATTTTAAAAAATAAATGTCGAGCAAATTTGACCGAAATTTTCATTTTGTTGGAAAAGGTCTGTTAAGGTCCAATTTTAACTTTGTTTTTCTCATTCAAGCACAAGTTTATGGTCTTAACTAAACACGTATGTTTTTTGCATTTTAGATGATCCTGTCGGGAGTTATGCTGATAACGCGGACGCACCTTTTTTCGAGGGGTCACCGGAATGACGTAACAATGACGGAGTTTTAATTTTTATTTTTTGAAAATTTTAGATATTATCTTAAATGTGTGCTTGAATTAAATTATAAGTTTTTAATAGAAAAAAATATTGAAATATTGAAAATAGGCTTTTATTACCCGACTAAACCCATTTCGTTCTAAGCAGGATTGTTAGTGGTCATCGGTATCGATTCCTTTCTTTTCGATATCTCACGCATATTGGCTCTGGCATTGTTGGCGATAATGACGATGAGCACTCACATTGGCGCCAACACGCTCAATATCTTAATTTGTTGATTTTAACACGCATTTTCTAAGCCACTTTAGTGCTGATACGGATTGATAACTATGCCACTGCGGTTCAAAAATTTGCAAAGTTTATCTTGCACCGCTTAGCCAGTATAAAAGCAGTCAGCGGCTGCTTAGCAAATTAGTTTACGTGCCGCGCTTTTAAACGCGCAAGTTTCTTGCCATAAGTTGGTGATTTTGAAAAGTGGTGTGGCATCGCTATTGTTTCAAATTTAATTTGTGTTGACCAAATTATTAGTAAAATTTAAATTATTTAAATTGCTACTGAGCTGTCTATAGAAGGTATATGCTTTAATTGACGCACACGTGCGAATATATTACAATAAATTGGATAATCATGCACAAATCACATGTCAATCGGCGTTCAATGCACTCATCGTCATATCTTGATCTTATTGCCAAGTCAAATGTTAAATTAAGTTAGGTAATGCATTTTGTATTTACATAAGCGAGCCTTTGACAATTGCTGGACAATATATCATATTTTTGTCAATAAAGACAAGAAAACGGTACAGTTGCGACCGAAGCTATAATACCTTTCATCCATCAAAGGACTTGGTTTGATCGTTCACTTTGTGTAGCAGCTATATGCTATAGTGTCCGATCTAAGCACTCATTTTGATCAGGTGATCTGAGTACCTATATTGGTTTGCCAAAAGTACAAGCGATTTAGTATGTACTTATTTCAGTAACATTGAATGAACTTTAAGATTTTAATTAACGATTCTAATTGAATTGACTTTATAATCACTTTCATTCAAGTCCTAAAGCAAGGGCAGTTCGAACTCAAGTAGAGACATCTAATTACTTACAGAGATAACATTTAAGTAGACTTTTGCTCACAAAATAGTTATTGCTTTGTATTGCGCACATATTTGTTAGTGAAATTGAAATCTATCAAAATCCAATCTTCTATAATGTGGTATACATAATGACTATGATCATACACATTTCATTCTTTCTGTGTTCTTTAAGTTATCTCGCCGCCGTCGCTGATAACGGCTGATCACGTACTAGAAAACATAAAATATTAAGTTAAAACCAATCGCAGGCTCATATGACATACCGCATGGTCAAGCAGTGGCATCGTAAATAATTTATCACAGAAGAACAATCGTCTATTTTGAGTTTAGAGATACTTAACTTCTATATGCCTATACACACTACTGCCTTATTTGTGAACTGACATGAGCTCTTCTCTTGATTTTTATAAGGCAACTGAGCCTCGAATGTGGTGATCTAAAATAGTTCATTGTCAATGAGTATGAAAAATATTTATTCTAAATATTATCTGATTTGTTTGAATTAACAGTACATTAGATATTGGATAGTAGAAGTAATTTTTAAATATATATTTCTGTTTGTATATTAAATATAAAATAGATGTTGTTAATCTTTCAAATTCTATAATATAATAACTTATGAGAATATTAACTCATTGTTTCCAGATTGGGCATTTAATATGATTGATTGACAGAATTGAAGTGCAATTTTAAGTATTGTAATATTTGTCGGTACATACATATGCGAAAAGGCATTTAAATTCTCTCTTATATTTTCTGCTCATAATTATTGGAATTTTTTGAATAGTTATAAAACGACGACGAGTGCACCATATAATTTTTGAATTGCCGTTAATCTAATCTTTTCGGTAGTAACTAGTAGTAAGTTATCGTTGTAGTGTGAAACATAAAAGTCGCTTGTAAATCAATATAAAACTTAATAAGAAAACGGCTTTGACGGATCCCTTATAAAGCTATAAAATAATTTACTAACCTTAAAGTTTAAAATCTAAGCATGACAAGCAATAAACAAGGTTCTAAGAAAGAGCTGTTCTTAAACATAGAAGTTTACGAATTTCGAAATTCGTGTTTATTTATTGATAATTTCAAAATAAATATGACTGTAAAGTCTATAGCCTGTATAGCCAGGTTCTCAAACAACAACGAATAACACACCTGTCTAATGAAAATTCAGTTTCACTTATTTTTAAATACAAAGTGGAATCTTATTAAAATCTTTTATATTCACTGTCTGTAGTTGCCCATAACCGTTAAATCAGAATTTCATTAATGGTTACGGACGGCATATAAGACGTCAAGTATTACCAACTGTAGAATCGAGATTCAGTGAATATGCTCGTATTTTCCAATCTACGATATTCTGTTTAATTTCACAAATACTTTTCGTCTCAAAACTAATGTAAATTTTTCTAATTTGAAATTCAGCAAAACTTTTTTTTTAAGATATAAAAACAACTACGCATCATGAAATTTTACTCGTTGCGCTTTTGCCAATTAGCGGTAAGTCAACATATTTTACACGCTTATATTTGTATTCTTATTGAAACACTACTCCACTCAATAGCTTCAGAATGCGCTGGCAGCGTAAAAGAGGAAATTACGGCCACTGAGTTATTGAGAATCTGAATAAAGAGATTGCACGTCGCACAGAACCTTGAGACAGAAGCCTCCTGGGCGTATGCATCTAACATCAATGCGGAGAATGAGCGCAAGAAGAATGAAATCTCCGCAGAAGTGGCAAAATTCATGAAGGAAGTTGCCGCAGATTTACTGAAATTCAATTGGCAGTCCTTTAAATCGGAAAATTTGCGTCGCCAATTTAAAATGCTCTCTAAACTCGGTTATGCGGCACTCAGCGAGTCCGATTACGCTGAATATTTGGATGTGTCGTCCACTATGCAGTCGAATTACGCTAAAGTACGTGTTTGTGACTATAAAATGCCACCAAATGCGACCTATCCTTAAATCCGAAATCGAAGAGATCATTAGCCCAGCCGTGATCCGGAAGAACTGAAGTATTATTGGCGCGAATTTTACGAAAAGGCCGGTACTAGCTGTGCGCGGTCCTTTCGAGAAATATGTGGACTGAATACGAAAGCAGCCAATTAAACAGTGAGTGCGAGAACAGCTATTTATTCATTTCACACTTTACTACGATTTAAATTTTGAATTACAATAGATTTCAAATCTGGCGCTGAATTGTGGTTGGATGAGTACGATGATGACACCATTGAAAAGCAGCTCGAAAACATTTTCGAAGAACTACGTCCGCTCTATCAGCAAATACATGGTTACGTCCGTTCTCGTCTGCGTCAACACTATGGCGAGGCTGTGGTGTCAGAGAAGGGACCCATTCCAATGCATTTGTTGGGAAATATGTGGGCTCAACAATGGTCCAGTGTGGCCGATATTATCTCACCATTCCCTAATAAGCCGCTGATTGATGTTACCAATGAGATGGTTGCACAAGGTTACACACCATTGAAAATGTTCCAACTGGGTGATGATTTCTTCCAATCAATGAATTTGACAAAGCTGCCACAGTAAGATCGAGATTACATTACTCTATTCAAATTGTATTCGATATCATTTCTACCTGCAGAGATTTCTGGATAAGAGTATTTTGTAAAGCCTGATGATGTCGCGATTTGATTTGCCATGCCAGTGCTTGGGATTTCTTTGTTATCGATGATGGCGCATTAAGCGTGCACCCGTGTGACAATGAATCACTTTTCACCGTTACACTGAATTGGGACAACATTCAATACTATTATAATACCAGCATTTGCCCATGGTCTATCGCGCTGGTGCTAACCCCGGCTTTCATGAAGCTGTCGGTGATGTGCTCCACTTTCAGTCTCTACACCGAAACATTTAGAGCGTGTTGGTCTTCTGAAAACTACAACGCGATGATGAGGCACGCATTAACCAATTGTTCTTAACTGTAATGATCGAATATTGTTGACCTTTCAAATTCGTATCATATATACTTGTATCGTGTATTTAATTATTCAGGCTCTAGATAAGATCGTCTTCCTGCTTTCGCTTTACTATGGATAAATACCGTTGGGCATTATTCCGTGGCGAAGTACAAGAAGGATTGGAACTGTGCTTTCTGAAGTTGCGTGAGGAATACTCTGGCATTGAACCACCAGTAGTTCGTTCTGAAACGATTTTGATGCACCACTAGTATCATGTGTCCGCCGATGTCGAGTACTTGAGGTAGGTTTTACGGTTAAGAGCAT